TGAGTAGGTGGAAAAATACGTTTCGTTTTCACAAGAAATTCAAATAAGGAACATCTTGCAGCAATTTCGATACATTAGCCTAAGCATGGATTTCATGTAAATTAGTTCATATCACAATATTAAGAAGGCATCAACAGCTGACACTCGCCAACAACAGGTGTGCACATTGCGATGCTAACGTAACCGTAATCATTTCGATTCAGGCGATTGCAGTGCATCATGGGTAATTCAGGAACATTTTTTTTAACAGGTTTTGTACCAGTATCGTTGCGCAGAACTCAAACGGTCAGATTTGGCATGGACGTAATATGGACTACGGTTTTGTGGATGCTCTTAGAAATATGACAATAATTGCTGACGTCACACGTAATGGAAAAGTAAATATTGTTTATTTCATCTCCCTTAACTCATGTTCGTGCACATCAAATAACAAAATATTGTTTTTTAATTTCACTTCAAATCGGTTTGGACTTTTTTTCAAAAGTAGTGCTGTTATTATTTCAGGTGATTTATACAGGAACTACATTTGTTGGGTTTTGTGGAATGTTGACTGGCATGAGACCCAACGCATTTAGCATCACTGTTGATGCCAGAGGTAAAACGCAACAGCGCCATCACATGTCAGTTTACTGAACATACAAGAATGCAATAAGACATAGCATATTTGATTTGTAACAATTTGCCACAATGTCACTAACCATTTGTGTATTCTTATCACTGTTCCTATGTACATTTCCTTAGGCTCCGGATCCAAAGCGGACTGGTGGAAAAACGCACTGGAAGCTTTCAATGCCCTATTTATAGGGGGCGCTTCGTTCTCAAGTTTCCTGCCAAGAGAGGTGGGAACCATTTTTACGAGAGCAAAACATTTATTATAATCCGAATTATAAATGATCGTAATCACAATTATACAAAAAGTAGAATATTGCAGCTGATACTAACGTTGTAACAAAGTTTGTAACACTAATTTAACTGAAGCACTTATACAAATACCGTTTCTTTTCGAAGGTTTTTGAGAGTGAGACAAACTACCACGACGCAGTGGAAAAACTGTCAAAGCGACAGATCATCGCTCCTGTCTATTACATTGTTGGCGGCGTCAAACCGGGAGAGGGCGCTGTTATAACTCGTGATCGGCTGAAAGCTAAAGATGTTTGGAGTCTTGACCCTGACAATGGAAGGTAACAAATATTTAAAGGGATCAGTTTACTGACGTCATCATTAATGCAGATTACAACAACACTAATCATGTATATGTAATACTGTACGGGATTAAAAGTCAATTGGTAACCCAAACTACCAAGAAAGCTTTCCGGTGTTACGATTTCTATGTTTTTTTATCAATCCAGTTATATATCTGTGTCCGTGAAATGTGTGGAGCCAGGGCACTTCAAGTGACATGACATGCTAATGACGAAATCAGGAAGAATAAGTTAGACTACATATGTTAACAATACCGGGTGTTGTTTATTTCTATTTTAGGTGGTACGTCGTTGAGACTAACTACGATCATTGGCTTCCACCCCCTTCTGGTGATGATCGAAGGTAGGTGATCACTCTAACTTATCGGACAATGTTTGCTGCCCTCGCCAGGCAGGCTAAAGAAGCAAGTGGTGGTATTTAAATTTCACGATAATATGTCATCAATATGTCTATTACAGAGATCCTGCAAACAAGTTTATGAAAGCTGTTGGTCAAAAAAATGTTAACGGAACTGCCATATATGATGTCCTATCCACGCCACCAGTTTATAGATCGTAAGTAGCTTTGATGAGGTGGTGGTAATGGTAATGGTGTTGGTGAACAGGGTCGAAGCTCGTTCAAAAACAGCGCCTTTGCGCTGCGTTCGTACGTGCATGCATGTATTTGGGGGGGGGGGGCATATATGTAAGTGTTTTCCGGTCTCCTATGACGCCTCATGTCGTACACACTAACACTACCATGGGTGAAAACTCGCGTGGTAATTATGGTAAGAACAAATCTGATTAATTCATGGCGGCATGACCTTTGACCCTGTGCGTTGACATTACCGTTCTATTATTCCAAATTTTTCAATTTCGTAATGTTATTTTATCGACCATTATTTAACAATCAATGTGAAAATAAATCAAGGGACCAACATTTGATATGGTTCTACAACGAAATGTCAGTGGAACTTACAGCAAATATTAATAACAAAAATAACATTACTTTATTCACATTGCAGGGCCACTGTGTACACCGCTGTCATGTCTGCTGCAGACCCGTCTACGTACAAGTGCTGGACTCGTTATGAATTCCTCCCAACAGTAAAGCCCTGGACTGAGGATTACAACGAAATATAATATATATTTTTATTCTATTGATTCTTTAACAGTCGTATTAGCGAAAATTGAATTGTTAAAATTCATTTCGTAATTGAAATGAACACAGCTTCCCCAATAGAAGATGCTGACCATGAGGATGGGTGTTACACTTGGAAACAGCACGGCTACCACGTGTGATTAACTTTATTCAATATTCATACTTTAATAAATGTAACAGCGTTGGTGTTCGCAAGATATCCGACTTACAAATAGCCAAACATCACCGAACAGTTCCATAGATCTGGTTGTGATTGATTTATCAGCATTTTAAGCTTCCATCAAATCACCGAATCGCATTCCGTATTCAAATTGTCTGTTCGACGATTGAAAATGAACTATATTACAAAATCAATAGAAGATGTGAAGCATTTCCGATTAAGAATAATCAGTCAGAGATGCACAGCAGACTTTCGAATTTATGGGATGACTGATTTACTGGTTTTTCCACTGCGTTCGAGTGAACTTCGAATATCAATCATGATGTACACAACGGCGGACTGAAAACCTAAATACATTATTACAGCAACAGGATCCGCATTGCAGCCAAGACAGTTCACACTTTTAAGTTGATACATCGTAACTAATCATGTAGTCACATCTACGCACTCCTATGAACTGGGTGCCTAACTTTGATCAAGATCTGAAGCTAATAGAAAATCTGTTTAGTTCAAAGTTATCAAATCAAAAACAATACATAAAAAATACATTAAAAGCAAAACATTTCATCCACATTTTAAAAAGAAAATTATTCTAAAATATATGTATTCTGTATTTGACAAACAGTTCATTCGACAAATGAAAACTCACAGGAATATGTTTCAGCTATTAGAACAGAATGATAGAGTTTTTATAATACTAGTTTAAAAACGCACTTCAAAGATTGCAGTGTTTGAAGATGTAGATTCTCAGGAGGCAACAGTACTGTTGACTTCTCCCTCCACTGGACACCAACTATTTAAGTTGATTTGCATACAAAGCAGAGCTTGCAACATGATAGCTATTCATAAAGGGTGTTTTATTTTACTTTTCATATAATACAGTAGTCACACAATGAGGCAGTTCATATTTGTCTCAGTGAATCATTAATTTTTGACAGACACCTGTACAAAATACTTGGACTAAAGCCAGCTAAATTTTTCTGTTATCTTGCATGTTTTATGAATCTATTCACATCTAAATGCAGCACTTTTTTTGCAATGAGACATTTGTTTTTATTCTAAAATATCTGAATTACTTTGAATAAAGCTGGAAATTATGTTCCTTAAAATAATTAAACAAATAAGGCATGTTTTTGTAAGATATTTACATCTTTTAAGGACATTCGGTAGACTGATTCCCCACTGTTGGTTCAACCCCCAAACTTGTTTGTATTCAAAATTAATTATGACAATGCATATTTATATTGAAACAAACTATGATAAAGGGAATTATATTATATAACAAAGGGCAAGGTCACCAGAGTTCAACTATGTTTACTTTCTGTTGTGGTGGTATGGTGTGCCAAATGTTTCAAAATTAGTCATAGCACGTATAATGTAACCGTGTAATGTATAATATGTACATGAAATTATGACTGAAAGACATGTTACAGTCTGAAAACCGTGAAACATACAAATCATAGGAGAATACATTGAAAATCTGTTAACCTTTACTAGAAATGAAGAAAAACATGAATGCATTGCCAACAACCAAAACAGATGACGTAATATAAACAGATCGGTAACAATGCAACACTGTAATTCGGGATAAAAAGTGATATTTAAAAAAAATACGTGAAACGTGGTATGTTGCATCACAGTCCCTCGTTGGGGACGGTGGTTGCATTTACAACTAACATATTGTAAGTGAATGGTTAAAACAAGTATAAAACGCACATATAACACCTATTGTTCCTGACACATATTTATATTACACCAAAGACTTCTCTATACGAGTAGTCTTTGAGTACACATACTAATCCAAACTTTCTAATGTAAGGGCTACGCTGATTGGTTGTTGTCGATGTACAGCAAGGAACAACAAGCTAAAGTTGTTTAGGGGGCACCCTCAATCTGTAAAATCCACCGCAGCCGAGGGGCAACGCGAATTCAGTGCAGACCCAGGCCTGGTGCAGACCATCGCTGCAGCGTTAATAATAATAATAATGTTTATTTCCAAAGTACCATAGGCCGCCGGCCCTAATTACACTCAAAGATACATCACTAGTATATGCAGTCACAGGTTACACATAGTTAGATATCATTAAGAATTGCTTCCTCTAACAACGTTTCTCTATTAAGAAAAGAATAAAATAAATATTTAGCACAATTTCTAACAGTTTGTGGATTTTTGTTGGTCATTAGGTTAATGAACTGGGGTTGTAGGCGGGGCTGCTTAGTGTATATCTTTGGAATATAGCGTTAATGTGCATTATATTTACTTATTGACTCTAAAACAATTCCCGGATTGGTCACAAAGTACAAGGAGAAAAATATATAACTGAACTATGACCTGATGGCACTAGCTGCCAGTGCGCATGTCTATTTTATCTTATCTGTGATTTAGATGTGCACGGCCTAAATAAACAGTACATGTTTAAGAGACTGGGCGTGGCGTTGTTATTTAATTAATATACAGAGAAACATTGAAATTTGCTTTCAAAGATTTCCTGCTGAAATGTGGAAAGGTATCGTCATTTTAGTGATTTGGATGGGTCTCGTACAGGGGGAACGGAACCATACAGTAGCAGCGCCTCGTTATAGATTTGATTTGGACACTCCGCCCGAGAAGAGATGGGACCACATTGTCAAAGATTGGGATGATAAACTTTTACAACACTTCCTCAACGAGACACTGCAGTAAGTATTCACATATGTGTAGGTGTGATGATAATAATATTAATGATTTTAGTAAGTAAAAATACACCTATTTTAGAATAAAATTTAGATACAATGGAACAATAAAATCAAAGCACACAGACTAGCAAACAAAACAAACAAAGTCCAGAGTGTCCAGTCACAATTACGTATAAACAATGTTAAAATTTAGTTGAACCTTTTGAACGCACTTTATAGCGTTCCGTTATTCAAGTTTACATAACGGTTTATGGATGAAGGTAGTACGCTACTATATGCAAAATAAACCACATTATTCTATGGATAACTTATACCGGTATTCAAAATTATCCAATTTTTCGTAACACTACACATTATTTAGCATAGATCACCAAACACTTTTAAATATGATCGAATGTTTCTGCCATAGGAACTAATTGTAAATTACTCAAAACACGCATTTTTGTTGAAAACTTAAAACTTCGGTGAATATTACAGTAACCCAACCCCTCTTGCTGGATTTTGAGGATTTCCGAGTATTTTGTTTAATGGCGCAAACAACATTGTGATTTTCATTATTAATAAATAATGATATTCAAGTAGAAATCAACAGTTAACATATTGCTTTTTTTTAATAATCCAATTATATATAGACAAATAGATATGTACATAATATGAATATGTATAAAATTATAACGGTTCAATTCTATAAAAAAATGTTGGTGTGCCAGCATTTTTTTTTACAAACCATAGATCAACGTATTATATTCTTTATTTATATTTATGGAATTTGCGTGTTGTATAATCATAAGAGTGTTTATAATATTTACATATCATGCAGCAAATTGAATTATAAATAAATAAATAAATAAATAAATAAATAAATAAATAAATAAATAAATAAATAAATAAATAAATAAATAAATAAATAAATAAATAAATAAATAAATACTATTGGGTTCAAGTAAGTTTCGTAAGTAAGTATACGGATCAATTGCTGAATAAATTCGGATAGGCGCATTGAATGTAAATAACGAAGCGTGGGCGTCAAAGTGTACGCATAATATAAATAAACTGATAACCCATCATGACATGGAAGTTGATAGACCCAATCGTCTGTGCGACAAACCCGTTGTATCACAGATTTGGTATTGTAGGTATGGTACATGTATTCTGCATAATAGCCTAGTGTGGGTGAAACGGTCACGTTTAAGGTCAAAGGTCAAAGACGAGCAAAGAATGTTTGTATTTCGTAGAGTTTTTAAATATTGAGAATGCCAAGCTGACGAGAGAGGGGAGCCGCAGATGAATAATTGGAAAAAGTGATCAGGCGAGTAGCTTTTATTTATTTGTAGTTGTAGGCTCGGATAAGTATTTCCCCAGGTTTCGATACAGAAAGTTTAACGTGGGTGGATTAAAGAATTGTATTGGCGGAATGCGCGATAGCACACCAACCTTGGTACTGTCTGTCTTGACAACGTTTGCAATATGTGATTTCCAGGTCAGGGAAAGGTCAATACTGACACCTAAGGAAATGACCGACGAAGCGCCCTCTATCGAGATACCAGTAATTTATTTTTTTGGAAGTTTTCAAATTCATATATTTAGTTTTGTCTACATTGATGGTCAGTTTATTGGCATTGAACCAATCAATACTATTTTCAGGGTCATTATTTTCATCGCTGAAGTTAGTAATATTAGGTTTTGGAAATTTAAAGATGAGTGTGTCGTCTCGAAATACTCTAACAAATTGAATGCATTTACTAGATTTATTAATGTCCTTAACGCAGTGTAGAAATATAATTGGGCCTAGAATAGATACTTGAGGTGATCCGCTTTGGACGTGTCTAGTGTTGATATCGTGCCGTCAACTGATAGGCGTTTTTTCAGGTAGCTACGAATCCAGGAACGAGGAATCCTCTTAATTACATAATGCCATAATTTGTCAAGAAGAATCTTATGATCTATTGTATCAAAGTTTTGTTAGGTCAATAAAGACGCCGGCTGTAACACAGCCCTATTTTGTTGCATAATATGTAAATACTATAATACATCTTTCCCATTATATAGGTCACAACTGTTGCATATAATTACCATAAATATAAATATAACAATATAATATGCTGATCTTTGGTTTGTAAATAAATGGTACAACACCGAGTATCGTGCTCGATAAACACAGTACCGATGTAGCTAAACTGCAAACATGCTCGAGGTCGTACGGTTAAAGCGTCCGAGCTTACGTGGGCCGCAAAAGCTTATCCAGTTTATAAATTAAAGCGCGGTGGACGTCGCGCAGCGCGTGTACGAATTTCATGTAAATAAACAATGTATTTTACACGCGTTGTATACGTCGCTATGAGTTCCATAACGAACAGAACGCGGCACGACGACTGTCGCCCTTTAACAGTTTTAATATATGTCATGTAGTTAATAATGCGATCAATTTACCGTTCTTTACGATATGGGGCAGCCATCTTGAATACGACATTAAACTAAATAAGTAAAAAGTTGCAAAACGTGTTTTTTTAGATTCCTACAAATCAGGACCTATTACTGTTAGCCAAACCGCTAACAAAATTCGGCCGCATTCGTCGTTTTTAAGCGGAAAATCCCTTGCATACGAACACCTAATTACACGAAGAACTTAGAACACTTTTCTGGGATCTGGCGATAGTTGTTGAGATTCTCCTGAACAGTGTAGTCCCTACATGTGAAACATACTAGTATATACATTTAGTTGCTCAATATGTTTTCACCGGCTCTTCGTCCAGCGTTCCACTGAGCTTGCGCAAAGCTCATAGAAATACATAGTAACGTAGAACGCTCTGTGACGTAGCTCTGCTCCCGAGAATACGAGGTATATGATAAGACAACGAACCTCATTACGTAAGTGATACATACTACTAGTTGTAAAACTGCAAAATGTGATGTCATTAAACACGTTGTATGTGTATTTCTCCTTATAGAGACTATTTACCGGAAGCAGTTATCCCAATATTGGAAACTATCGCAAATGCCGCGGATCGTCTAATACCAAGCCCCTATAGGCAAGAAATGGAAGGATTTGCAAAGACCACTGGACTCAAATTAGCTGACGTCATCGCATTGAACTTGGTATATGAATTTATGACGTGAGTAGGAAGAGAACACGTTTCGTTTTCACAAGAAATTCAAATAAGAACACCTTGCAGCAATTTCGATACATTAGCCTAGGCATGGATTTCATGTAAATTAGTTCATATCACAATATTACGAAGGCATCAACAGCTCTGTGAAGTACGCCAAAAACAGGTGTGCACATTGCGATGCTAACGTAACCGTGACCATTTCGATTCAGGCGATTGCATCTTGGGTAATTCAGGAACATTTTTTTTAACAGGTTTTGTACCAGTATCGTTGCGCAGAACTCAAACGGTCAGATTTGGCATGGACGTAATATGGACTACGGTTTTGTGGATGCTCTTAGAAATATGACAATAATTGCTGACGTCACACGTAATGGAAAAGTAAATATTGTTTATTTCATCGTCCCTTAACTCATGTTCGTGCACATCAAATAACAAAATATTGTTTTTTAATTTCTCTTCAAATCGGTTTGGACTTTTTTCAAAAGTAGTGCTGTTATTATTTCAGGTGATTTATACAGGAACTACATTTGTTGGGTTTTGTGGAATGTTGACTGGCATGAGACCCAACGCATTTAGCATCACTGTTGATGCCAGAGGTAAAACGCAACAGCGCCATCACATGTCAGTTTACTGAACATACAAGAATGCAATAAGACATAGCATATTTGATTTGTAACAATTTGCGACAATGTCACTAACCATTTGTGTATTCATATCACTGTTCTTATGTACATTTCCTTAGGCTCCGGATCCAAAGCCGACTGGTGGAAAAACGCACTGGAAGCCTTCAATGCCCTATTTATAGGGGGCGCTTCGTTCTCAAGTTTCCTGCCAAGAGAGGTAGGAACTATTTTTACGAGAGCAAAACATTTATTATAATCCGAATTATAAATGATCGTAATCACAATTACACAAAAAGTAGAAGATTGCAGCTGATACTAACGTTGTATTAAAGTTTGTAACACTAATTTAACTGAAATACTTATACAAATACCGTTTCTTTTCGAAGGTTTTTGAGAGTGAGACAAACTACCACGACGCAGTGGAAAAACTGTCAAAGCGACAGATCATCGCTCCTGTCTATTACATTGTTGGCGGCGTCAAACCGGGAGAGGGCGCTGTTATCACTCGTGATCGGCTGAAAGCTAAAGATGTTTGGAGTCTTGACCCTGACAATGGAAGGTAACAAATAATAACAAAAGTATCAGTTTACTGACGTCATCATTAATGCAGATTACAACAACGCTAATCATGTATATGTAATACTGTACGGGATTAAAAGTCAATTGGTAACCCAAACTACCAAGAAACCGTTCCGGTGTTACGATTTCTATGTTTTGTATCAATCCAGTTATACATCTCTGTCCGTGAAAAGTGTGGAGCCAGGGCACTTCAAGTGACATGACATGCTAATGACGCAATCAGGGGAATAAGTTAGACTACATATGTTAACAATACCGGGTGTTGTTTATTTCTATTTTAGGTGGTACGTCGTTGAGACTAACTACGATCATTGGCTTCCACCCCCTGCTGGCGATGATCGAAGGTAAGTGATCCACTCTAACTTATCAGATAATCTTTGCTGCCCCTCGCCAGGCAGGCTATAGAAGCAAGTGGTGCTATTTAAATTTCACGAGTTTCTTTGTTGATACAATGTAGTCATTAATACATAAATATGTCTATTACAGAGACCCTGCAAATAAGCTTATGAAAGCTGTTGGTCAGAAAAACGTTAACGGATCTGCCATATATGATGTCCTATCCACGCCACCAGTTTATAGATCGTAAGCAGAGTTGATCCCAAGTTGGGTTGGTGGTGGGGATTGTGGCTGATCGAAACTATATACAGGGATCAGTCAAGCAAGTTAACAAGAAACCATTCTGTGTGATATATGTTTGTTTTCGAATCAGCTGCTTATTACAAAAGTGGGTGATTTGATCCTTGCTCGGTGATTTCGTGAAGTATATGGGGAAGGGACATTATGTAAATACTGTTATGTTCGTCTTTTATAACTTTCATCCCTTACACAATGAGCGAAATATAAGTAAGACTTATAATAGAACAATTCAAGCAATATATATAATCAGAGGTAAATTACTTCGGGTTTACAACGCGCATAGTACTGTATGTTGACATCACGCCAAGATCCCATTCAAGTCTCGTAGGTAGCGGACCGATGCTACGACCTTCTGACATGACATAGGTGGTTTGTAATAAAACAATATAACATGTATTACCACATTCATAGTGAAGAAATGTAATACATCAAAAATGTACGGAAAATATAGTTATCTTAATCCGTCATATCGTGAACAGCTATTTTGATCCACCTGGACATCCCAGTATTCTAGTTACCCCTGGCATGCGCATTCGCATTTTTCTGAGTTGAAAAGCGAGAGCGAGATTGAAACGGGATCTTGGTATCATGTCACGGGAGTGCAAACCCCAAGTAATGTACCTCTGAAATATTGTATATATCCAAATTCTTCAATTTAATAACAAAATCATTATAGTAAGAAATCAAATGATTCACGTATTTATCCCATGAGTCATGCCCATGTGATACAGCCTATTGGATGTTCTTGATTCGATTGGCTATTGATGTCATTTTACAATGATCATGTAAATGCAACATACAAGAAATATAGTCATATCGGAAATAACATTACTTTATTCACATTGCAGGGCCACTGTGTATACCGCTGTCATGTCTGCTGTAGACCCGTCTACGTACAAGTGCTGGGCTCGTTATGACTTCCTTCCAACAGTAAAGCCCTGGACTGAGGATTACAACGGAATGTAATATGTATTATTATTATTCAATCGATTCTTCTACCGTCGTACAGTGTTAATAGTTACAATGTATTCAATAGAGAATATTACATCGCATTAAAGTCATATTTTTTAAATTTCAAACCACTTGACGTGTGTGTCAATTACTGAAGATGATGAGCGAACGTGATGTGGGTGGTACATCATCTTGAATCTCCCGACACTGCCAATGTGTACCTAACCTCATCACTCGACACTTGTTTGATATGTCATTGATTGGTTCACAGAAGACGTCGCCTTGCGGTGTAATTGAAAGAAGTTATCTTGCACACGAATGCACGAATTTAAAACTATGGTAAGAAAACATTTTAACTTGTGTAATCAGACTCAGTGTCAATAATCATCCGATATTACAACACACCGTGTGCTATAAATGCCCCAGTTAACACCGAAAGAAAAGAAAATTAAAACAATTAACACCCTAATTCCCGAATTGGGCTCTGACCAAGACAGCACCTGTACATTTAATCAAGAATAGTCAGAAATTATGGAAGTTTAATATTTCTTACCGATAATGGTAAAAACATATTAGTTTTCAAAGCGTAATGATTCGAACATTTCTGTACAATGCGCTCCTATCAAATGTAGATTCCTCATGTTCAGAGTGTTGATAGATATGTTTAATGATTATTGGGTAAAGCAGACTCAATGAGGAATTCAAGCAACCAAGAAAAACTTTGGAATGTGTTGTACGATTGGTGTGAAATTGAGGAACTACGTTAATTTAAGGTAGAGATGCAGGTTCGTGGGCACTTGGGAGTGAAATTTTTTTTTGCTTTTTATTATCCAAAAAGTCTTGGCTATAGACTGTTGAAATTTTGTAGAATTGTGAATAGTGGAACATACTCAAAAAACGATTTTAAAATATAGATAACAGGTGCAAACATTCTCTCTATTGAATGCTTAACAAGATTTTAACAAGACAACTGGTAGTCAGTTTTCAAGATGGCACTTTCTTCATAGTAAATAGATGTACCCATAAACCAATTTTGACAGAAAACAGAAGCATGGTTTAGAAGCTAATTTTTTTAAAATCACTTTTTACCAAAAAAGCACATTTTTCTGCATATTTCAAACTACAGTGTCCATAGAAATAAAATACTAACAAAACTTTAAAATTCATACAATAAGCTTTCCGAAAATATATAGTTTTGTGGACAAGGGAGGTCATGGTTTTCTAAGTAACTAATTAAAGTACCTGTCAAGTAAACTGCATCTCTACCTTAATGAAGTTACTGTTGAATTCAGTAAAGTTGCGAGCAAAGTAAATAACGTTGCGTGAATAAACCTCAAAGTTGATGAAATTAGGTGGATAATCTGAAAAGCTGCGTGCAAAAATGATGAAATTATGTTGATAGTCAGCAAAGTTGACAAAGTTGCAAGGATGTCTGCAAAATGCATGCAAGAAAATAAAGTCACGTGGATAGTCTGCAAAGTTGCATGCAAAATTGATGAGGCTACCTGGATAGTTTGAAAAGTTGTGAGGAAAGTTGATAAAGCTAGGTGGATAGTCTGCAAAGTTGATAACATTACGTGGATATTCTGCAAAGTTGCGTGCAAAGTTGATACAGTTACGTGCATAGTCTGCAAAGTTGATAAAGTTACCCAGATAATGGAGATAATAAAGATAATGAAGCTACGTTGATAGTCTTAAAAGTTGATGAAGTTAGATGGACAAACAAAGTTAATACCATTTCGAAAGTCTGCAAAGTTGATAAAGGTATGCAGATAGTCTGCAAAGTTGATAAAGTTATGCG